TTTAAAATTTAAAAAAAAAACTTAGGAGTACTGATACGGGTACCAGTACGGACCGGTCTGGAACCTTAAAGGTACTAACTGTACAGGTACCAAGGGTATTTTATCGGTACCCTCCCATTAGCTTTACCCTTTACCCAAATCCCTCACTCCTACCCCAATCCAGACCGGCACAATGTGGTACGGGTACAGACCTCTACGGGTAATACCCTCCCTTGAGACAGCCCTAGTTGTGGGTGAGTCACCAAAGGAGCAATAGCTCCAACAAAGGGGATCAAAGGGAGGGAATTAAAAAAGGAAAAAAATAGATTTAAAAAGTTTGGTTTGTCTAAAAAATTATGGTTTTTTTTTTGCTCTGCCTTCTAGAGAATGAACTTAAGAAAAAAAAAATTAAAAGGGAATCGAAAAACATTAATCATGGTACAAATCAATATAGTAGCTTTTATGTTCGAACAACGGGAAGAATGACCAAATCGAAAAGCTTAAAGTAATTTCTTTCACTTGCCGGGGGAAAATGCTGTTTTTGTGCAAGAAAACTCGTAGGTTTCTGTTAGCATCAAAATGTAAAAAGATTTAGTCCTTTAGCATTAGAGAATTACAAGGAAAAAGGTGTACACATACAAGTAAACAAAGAACATGCCTGCCGACATATCAACTCAAGCGTTTTCAGAACACTCCCTAACCGAAAAACAAAAGAAGGCACAATAAATCATCACACGTCAATTACTCCAAACAGGCGAACATGAAACGGTATCAAAACGGCCTAATGGTCTAGAAAACAAAATATTAACAGAAAACAAAAGTTGCAGAAACGGCGAACCATGTGCTCTCAAAATCTTGTATACTTGTCTTGCTTCTATATGGTTTCCTTGAAACAAATAGATAAACCCTCTCTTTTTCCTTGTACACATCTATCTAAGCTAACATATAAGAATAATGATACAGAATGTACATCCATTAGAATCTATACACAAAGTTACTTTAAATCCTGTCAAAGATGGACCTCCACAGGCCTCTCTAAAAAAGGCCATGAGGCTGTGTTCCTCCGATTTCAATTCGGGAAAAATTGGCCATTTCAACTATATTTCTGAAGAACACTGTTTCTAACCTATGAAAAACGGCACAACAGCTTCTGTAGACTTAGCAATCTTAGCTGCTTCTGCTATTTTAAGTGCCATTGCGGCTTTGTAAGTTGCTAGATCAGCATTCTCCATCAGCTGCTGAGCCCTTTGTCTCAGCCTAACTGCCAAATCCTCCGATTTGTTTGCAGCAGCTTTAGCTTCTTGCACCTTAAGAACTGAGTTCTGTCGCTGCAAAGCATCTTTTTCAGTCACCATTGCTGTCATTGAATTTCATGTTAGTCTTCATTCAAGTGAAAAAATCCAAACTATAAATAGTAGCAGATATTGTATAGAGCAACCTATTTTAGAGAGAGATGAATTACACTGCAACACAAATCAACCTTAATTCCCTTATCAGAAGCACCGTGGGCAACTAATAAGTTGAGAAAAGAGGGCAGGGCTTGAAGACAGAGCCCTGCTACTAGCCATGAACGAACATTCACATGGGCACGACTTAGTCTAAACCAGACCATTAACTATAGAGCAGCAACAGATCTAACGTAGAATCCTTGTTAACATGGAGTAATTTCGTAAATAAACAGTGCAGATCACATAATAGGACAACAAGATTCTGATACCAATTCACACAGAATACACACCTGGTAGAAATGGCCGCTGTTTGCCTCTTCCGGCTTGGCTTCCTTGTCGTTTGAAAGACCTCTTCTTGCGGAGAACAGATTTTGGGATGACCTGAGTTCTCCTTGGCTGGTAACACTGTCAAGAAAGAGCATTGTATCATCAGATAGCGATAATTTGGATGAAGCAGCAGACCATGCACTGACATTTGCAAATTATCCCAAGTGATGAAATATGTTCAGAATTATGACAAGGCTAATATTTAACAGGAAATGCCAGTGCCTTTTCTCCTTTTTTTCTTTTAGAGGAGACACCAGTGCTAAGGTTTGTTGTTTTATTTTCTTTCTTTTTCATTTTGCTTTCTATTTTAATGGAACAAAAAGTTTATATTCCCCTAAGAATTACTGTCGGGCAATGTTGCAGCTGAAAATTTTCCTACAAAGAATTCAGCCTTGATTATGGTTAAAACAGCAATCAATAAGACATCTATTTAATTCCTTTGCTTGCTCATAAACCATTCATCAAGGTCAACGCCAATAGGAGAATACATTCTTGTTCCTTTTCTTTTATCTGGGGGAGGGATATAGTAAGCCCACCCCATACACATCCAAGAGTCCAACAGCGGACTTTTCCCACTTTGCTCCATCATTGAAGAGCCTTATCACAAGGCTATCCCTCCCTTGTCAGATTGGTGAATCTTAATTGCAAAACATCAAGAGACAATCTGGTCCAACGCTCTAGTCACTTTATCCAATTGGCTAGTGTATTTTCTCTCTTTTCATTGAAACTATGGCGAAATGATGACAAAAATGGGTCATCTTCGTCATAACACAACTTCGCTATGGAACAAAAGAAGCTTTTGTGACTTTTTGAATTTGCTTCACCTAAGAAATATGCATGTGGATATCAACTTCTTCAAGGAGAAAGTAAACAGAAATTCCATTTCGAGGAAAAGAAAAAAAGAGAACTAAAAAAAAGTTCATACTCCAGGTAGAAAGGCAAAGGCCAATAGTTGGAAAGCACGCGTGCATAAACAATTTTACTACTACTTTGTGGAAGTTAAAAACTATGAGTAGAATACATATGCTTCCAAAGATATTGTTGGCAAGAAAAACACACTTTTACCTGGAAAATTCTTATCAGGGAAGACCGCTTTTGCTTCCTCTTTTTGGACCAGTAACTATACACAGCCTCAACAATTTCTTTCTTTTCCTTATCCAGGCAACTATTGATAGCCGTTTTCTCATCAGAATAATCATCTGGATTACAATAAAAGCCTTTCTCAAAAGTATCAATCAGTATCTCAAAGCTCTCAACCGAAAGATGCTTGTTTTCCGAAAAAAGTTCATCATTAATGTTTTCTAGCCACTCGTCGTCATCAGAATCCATGTCATAGCATGTTGTACTCCTTGCTAATGCCCTTGTCAACTCATCATCTCTAACAGTTATGTATGAATCCGGACGGGCAAACTGAGCAGGATTGCTCTCTGCATAGCCTGATACTTCACGTACACCAGGAACAGGAATGATGCTTAACGCAGGGGGCTGTACATTGCGATCAGAACATTCTTTATAAAGTTCCTTGAAAATCAACCAGTCTCGCCTA